GGTGTGTGTTTCAACCTGGGCGGGGTTCAACGTGGTGCGCCTGTCTGCCCTTCTTCTCGGAGTGCCTCATGTATGATGAGGGGACGCCAGTACACAAAGCAATTGACTTTGACCTCCCTTTCCTCCATCCCCTGGTCCACCCCTCCCCCTGCTTCTCTCCCTGCAAAATCTGACTGTGATTCAAGCGTTAGACCGCCGGCCGAGGGTCATTCTCCCGTTGAGCCCACGCTGCCCTCCCTCCTTCCCACTCTCCCTCCGTTCCTTCCCCCCTCCCCCCTGCAGAACCTGACTGTGATTCAAGTCATCGATGCTATAGTGAAGGCGTGTCGCGACCGTGGGCTGAGGGTCATTCTCGCCAACACGCGCATCGGCCCCGCCCTGCCGCCCCTCTTTGAGGACGACCTGGGCGTGTGGTGGGACGCGGGGCACTCGGAGGCCGTGTGGATCGGCAACTGGCTCAAGCTGGCGCAGCGATACATCGGGGAGAGGGCGGTTGTTGGGGTGAGTGTTGGTTGGGGTGTGCGTGCGTTGGTGTGGTGTGGGTCCCTCTCTCTTGCTGTCTCTCCCTCCTGCTCCCTCCACTCCTTCGCTCGCCCCTCTCTTATTCTCCTCCCCCTATCTCCACACCGCCACCGATTCACAACCACCCGTCGCACCCCTCTCTCGTCGCCTTACTGCCTACTCCACATATATTATCCTTCATTCTCCCCCCCCTTTCTCTCCCTCCTACCAGGTCGATTTATACAACGAGATTCACAACCACCCGTCGCATCCCGACATCATATGGGCGGGGGACAACGTGGGCGAGCCGTACAACTGGCGCACTGCTGCCAAAAGGTGCGTTTGTGTGGGGTGCAAAACAGTACAAAAGGGTACAAAAGGGTGCTGATGGTGCTGGCAATGCTGGGATGAGTCGTGGATGGGGGACAACGTGCGCGAGCCGTACAACTGGCGCACCGCACCGCTGCTAAGAGGTGCGGAGGGGGGAGAGAGAGGGCAGGTTAGATGAAGGGTGGTGCAGGGTGGTGTAGGTTGCTGTAGGGGGAATGGTGGGCAGGGGACAACGTGGCTGAGCCGTACAACTGGCGCACTGCTGCTAAGAGGTGAGGGAGGGGAGGAAAAGGTGAATGTAAGGGGTGAAACTGGCTGGTGTTGCTGCCTTGTCCTCTATACGCCTCTCCTCTTACCTTATCCTGCCCCCGTTCTGCTCTCTCCGCTCTGGCTCCTTGCAGGGCTGCGGACGCCATTCAGTTGGTGAACCCCCATCTGGTAATCATCGTGCAAGGGCTCTTGGGCTCTTCCCCATCCTTCCCTACCTAACCACCACTGCCCCGTATTTCTCTCCTCTCCGCTCTGTGTCCTTGCAGGGCCGCGGACGCCATTCAGTCTGTCAACCCCGACCTGCTGATCATCGCACAAAGGCTGCATGCTTCTCTCTCATTCCTCCCCTCTCTCTCGCTGCCTCTTACGCCTCCCCTCTCTCCCCATATCAGGGCTGCGGACGCCATTCAGTCGGTCAACCCCGACCTGCTGATCATTGTGCAAGGGCTGGGCACGCAGTACACATGGCGGGGGGCGGACCAGAGGGGGGTCATGGCACACCCGCTCAAGCTCAAGGTGAGAGAGGAAGGGATATGTGAGTACAGAGGTCGGATGAGAGTGGTTGTAAGAGGTGCGTCTCAGTCCCCACGGTCCGACCTGCTGATCATCGTGGAAGGGCTGGGCACGCAGTACACGTGGAGGGGGGCGGACCAGAGGGGCGTCATGGCGCACCCATTGAAGCTCAAGGTATGTGTGATGGTGTGAAGGTCTATGCACGATTGGTGAAATACAAGCTGGCCTCTGCAGTCAATGGTTCTGGCCCGTTTGTCGACGCAAAGAAGCCCTGCTTCTCCCTTCAAAACCTCACCTCCTCCCTTGTTTTCCGTCATTCTCTTCTCACCCGCCCAGGTGAAATACAAGCTCTCGCCTACGCGGTCAACAACTTTGGCCCGTTTGTCGACCCCAAGAAGCTCTGGTTGGTTCAAGGACCCCAACTTCCCCTCCTCTTTTATCTCCTTGCCTGTATCCCTCCCTGTCTGCCTTCCCATCCGCAGGTCAAGTACAAGCTAGCCTATGCAGTCAACGATTTCGGCCCATTCGTGGACCCCAAGAAGCCCTGGTTCAAGGTCCCCAACTTACCATCATGTCACTGTTTTCTGCCTTTCTGTCTTTCCCTTCTCCCCTCCCCTCCCCCCCCCCCCCCCCCCCCCCCCCCCCGCAGGTCAAGTACAAGCTGGCCTACGCAGTCAACGATTTCGGCCCATTTGTGGACCCCAAGAAGCCCTGGTTCAAGGACCCCAACTTCCCAGAAAACCTCGAGGGATACTGGGACACTGCGTTTGGTTTCATCCCCCAGAAGAACTTCACCCCCCTTATAGTCACGCAGTGGGGCAGCCGGTTCCCCTCAGTTGAAAACACGTCCACGGATTTCCAGGAGATGCAGTATTTGGAGAAGTTTCAGCGGTATATCCGGTCGAGGAGTGCGGGGTGGGTGTGGCTCACGTGGGGGCCAACGAACAAGCAAGTGGGCGGGCTTTTAGCTAAGAGCTGGAAGAAGATGGAGCAGCCGAAGATGTCGTTTCTGCAGCCGATTATGCATCCCGGGTTCGGGCCGGCCAATGGGGAGCAGCCGTGGACGGCGCCAGATCATGATAAGCTGGTGGTGTTTTCTCCAGACACGAACGTGACTGTGATCGGATCGGGAGAAGACCTGAGTCCTAAGCTGCGTAAGTCGGTGTGTTGATGCGATTCTGAATCTGTTCTTGAGTTTCAGAGTGCTGGTGAGTTGGGGACTTTGCATGGGCATAATGATCTGGTGTGTCTGGTTTCACTTCCGCATATGCACTCTCGCTGTTGGCCATTTTAGTCTTATCTTCTCATTTCAAATTTCACTAAACCTTAATCCTTTCTCTGCATTTCCATTGCCATTGTTTGCATGCCTTGCAGAGCGCCCTCAATGGAATGCTGCTGCTCACAGCCCTCATGGCCCAGTGGCTTTCACACTCATGTACTGCCTTGTCCTAGCTTTTATTGTGTCACTTAGTGCATTCTGATTTGACATTGGTAGCGTCTATTTATAGTGTGGTTTGCCTTTGTGCTGTTAGGTGACTGTACATGCCTGCTGCTGCTACCCATGGTGTAACACTTGTTAATTAGGAAAAAACTGTGTCATTGTTTTGGCTTAGGGTTCTTTGGGTGTAAAGATGAGGAGTTCCAGTAGAGGTTTGAAGTGGTGATGTGAGTAAACCAGACCAGAAATGGATTCTATGACACTCTGAAGCCTTGCTTACGGTACCAATTGATATTTGTTTATTTCATAAACTGTTCCGTACATGCCATCCCCGAGTTGTCCGACGTGTAGCGAGTGATCAAATATGACACGGAACTGACACTCTCCAGACTTGTCCACCACGACAAGCAGTTTGCCAGGTTACCGTTCCCGGGTCATTGGTGGGAGGTTTTTGGCTTAACAACGATTGGTCACCAAGTGGTGGAAAGTTTTTCCGTTGCACTTTCGCCACAATTGCCACGTCAGTGGTCCCATTGTCCATCAACTTTGGGAGAAGGTGACCGTTCAAATATGCCTCCTCACTTCGTGGCCCTGGAGAAATGGAAACCTAGTTGATGACACTCGCGCACGCACACCCACACAAATCTAGGAAACATGCGGCTCGCCTTGAAAGGGACGCAGTCTAGATTGTGCTGGGCGTTGCCTCTGCTTGTGAGTGGACGGAGAGCGTGCCTCCAGGCGGAGTGGATAACGGTGTGTCAGCACCAGGTCAGCTTTACCGTAGTGAAGGAATTTCTAGCGGACCAAAAAACACGGAGACGTGGCAGGTGGATGCCTTTTCGCCGGCTTTGCTTCCCACCCAGCCGCACCATGAATTTATGGCTCTGACCAGACCAACTGATGCGAGCGACGATGATGACGCCGAGTCGCCTGATCATCCCTATCCAAGCGCTAGTATGATCCTTCGTCCTCGTCTCCCAGCAAAATCAACGAACGACCCCTTCTAGGATCATGTCAGCACAGCACTGTACAGCATACTGTATACACTGCACTTGCGCCCAGATGACAAGGAAAATGCCTGACAGTCATTGTCTGGTCAGCATTTACTATTTCTTTCTGACCAGAGAAGCAGCGAGCTTTGGCTTCGTCTGCTTTCATGGATGCTGGCTGCAGAAGCAATTCTGAACTTCTGATTTCCTTCGCACTTGCCTGATCAAGAGCAATGGCGTGTAGACGTGTCAACTTGTCTCAAAAACATGATTTCTTTTGCGGATAAAAGATTCGGTTTAGAAGCAGGTGATTTTTTTCTGGTCATCATGGCTGATCCTCCTTGCCTTGCTGGTCAGCCTGATCCTGATTGCTGTCGAGCATCAGCCATGCGATTCCAGACTCTGCACCATTTGCTTTCCCTTCTCGCGGCTCGGTTTCGTCAGCCATTGTGCCTACACAGTCACGACAGATCACGGTGACGTGTCGCGCACTGCAGAGCCTGCAAGGACCGACGTGTAGTGCTGCGTAGCTCCTCCATGAAGTTATGGATGCTAACTAGCTTAAGAACCCAGTAGGAGTTCTTAGAAATTTTAGTAGTATATTTCAAAAGCTCCTGGACCAGAGAGATTCTGAGTAGGCGGTTCTGAATCCTGAAGGGACACACAATTAGCTCGATCGCTGCCATTAGGCTCTGCTGGTAGGCTCGTCAACTGCTATGACGTCTATCCGAGCCAGAGCTTTAGCTTCGGTCTATGTCACCGAGCCTCCTCGGCTCAAACCTGGTTCTTGCATCCCCGAACCAGCAAGAAACGCAGTGCAGCGCACTACCGCATTCCACGTGGCAATTCCACGTCGGATCGCCTATCAGTCGGCTACTGGTAGTAACAACATTCGCAACTCATCCGGTCTACAGCTGGCAGCTGCTGATTGGCTACTAAGGGACTGCGCGGATTGTCTTATGCTGAGACAATCACGTGACGATTTGGACGGCACGGCAGTCCCACGAGCAGTGGCAGGAGTAGCAGAATCGGACCGAGGTGTTCGTGTGGGAGATAAAGATGCTGGCTCTAGATTTTCAGGCTTTCCTGGTCGTGCCGTGATTCGCGCTGCTGATTCATCATCATTCCGCAGGTACTGAGGGAGAGAGAGAGAGAGAGAGCTGACTTTGAATTGTTAATCGTTTGATCCCTGATTTATTTTCAGCAGTGCATGTGCTTCCTTCCAAATTCCTTGCAATATCAATGCACGAAGCTTCTGGTATGATTCCTTATGCTCTGACGTGCCTGCCACGTGGACGTTCTCTCAGGTCCCAGCGGCCGTGGCGCGCAAGGCCACGTCACCATCGGAACCGCGTTTCTCGGCAGTGCATTCCCAACTCAAGAGATAGCCCGCCGCGCAGAGGTGAGTGTTACATTGTGATCAATGCGGCAAAGTTACTAGCTGACGTGGCCTTACATGGCGTTGCCACGTCGGTATGAGAGCAAGAATAAAGGGTATGAATGGACCAACATATGAACCGTGTCCCAGGAGTGTCAGGCGAACATGGTAATCTTCCCCCTCACGATGATCAAACAAACGGACGGCTGAGATGTCAACTCAGTTCTTGAGTTATGTGCTATGCTATTTGTTCATCTGGTGTGATGAATGCCGGTGCTTGGTCCTCATACCCACATCCCTCCTCCCCTCCCCATCTACAAGTCTTTCCTCTCGTGCTCATGCTCCCCCTTCATCCCCATGCCATTCCCTTCTCCCCTCTCCCCTCTTTCCCCTCCCTGCCTTTCCCTCCTTTCCACACACGGGCATAGCGAGAGAGGAGGAGTGGAACGAGGTGACTTCTGAGTCAACTCAAAAGAATGCTCCTACCTCCTCGCCCCTCGTTCCGCTCGCCCCTCCATCCCTCCCCAACTTCCCCCCTTTCAAGACACGGGCATAGCGAGCGAGGAGGAGTGGAACATCAGCCTACAGAACGCGCCTCTTAACGAGTCGGGCCTTAACGAGGACGGCAGCTCGTGGTATCGGGAGAGCGGGGAGGACGTGGGGGAGAACGGGTACCGGTGCCGGTGGAGCATCATGGGCGGGAGGAGTTCGGACGGATCCGTGCAATGGAAGGAAACGGTGAGTGGGGGGGCGATGAGGGGGGGGGCAGGGGAAACGGGAAGATGGAGGGAGACAAAGGGAGGACGTGGGCGAGAACGGGTACCGGTGCCGGTGGAGCATCATGGGAGCAAGGAGCTCTGACGGATCCGTGAAATGGAAGGAAACGGTGAGTGGACGAAGATGAGGGGATGAAATTGAGGGGGGTGTGGGTGGGGAGATAAAGGGAGGACGCGGGCGAGAACGGGTACCGGTGCCGGTGGAGCATTATGGGGGGGAGGAGTTCGGACGGATCTGTGCAATGGAAGGAAACGGTGAGTAAGCTAAAGGAAGTGAACAGGCGGAGAAAATGAGCTATGTAAGGAAATGATTACAAGTGCAGCTAAACCTTTATGAAAGGAAGTAAGCAGGATAGCTTCGTGAAGCTCTTCCTTTGCTGTGTGCTTTATGGTTGCTAGTTCTCTGTCGTTTTCTGTTGTTGTTTTGTTTCGCCCGTAGTCAATAATGCACGCGAGCGGTTGTTGCATGACGGGCTGTGATTCAAGGCAAGGTGTTTGTTCAGGCGCCTCAGAAAAGGGAGTGTGAATGATGAGACGTCTCAAAAGGGGGCCTGCATGTGCCTTTTGAATCATGGGCCTTTGCTTGGTCCTGCCTTCCCTTCATCTCTCCATTCCCTTCTTCCCTTGTTGCGCTCTTGTGTGGTGTTGCCTTGCCATGGGCATAACATGGCAGTGGTGGGAGAAGAGCGATTGGACAGGATACAAAGAGCTAGGTACGCATGTCCATCACATCACAGCATGTCCATCACATCACAGCATATCCTGCCCCACCACAAGCAATGCGAGGCGAGGCATGAGTGAGAGAAGGCCGCCGCGAGAGTCGAGACGAGGCATAAGGGAAGGGGCATGAAAGAAGAGACGTGAGGGAAGAGGCGTAGTAAGAGGTATTGACTTCTTTATTTGCAACGACACAAGGAGGGATTACATCAGTGTGTACATGAGCGGAAAGGATACCATACCAGATCCTCTCCCTCCCTTCCCCCTTAGGAGAGATTCTCGAAATCGTATCCCCTTTCCCTCGTCGTTCCCTCCCCCTTCCCTTCCCCTTCCTTTCCCCTTCCCTTTCCCCTCCCTTCCCCAATTCCCCCTTCAGGCGCGGAGAAGAGTGGGCGGAACGCTGTGGGCGCGAGCTGGTGGGAGACGTGGCAGGAGGTGCTGAGGAGGGATGAATGGAGGTGAGTGAGGGTGTGAGGGTGGGAGTGAGTGAGAGTGTGGGGGAATGCCAGGCCCTAGAGATGGTGGGAGACGTGGCAGGAGGTGTTGAGGAGGGACGATTGGAGGTGAGAAGGAGAGGACGGGGAGGGGGGGTGACGGACTGCCAGGGAACGAGGGACTAGAGCTGGTGGGAGAAGTGGCAGGAGTTGCTGAGGAGGGACGAGTGGAGGTGAGGAGGGAGAGAGGGGGGGGGATTGGTGAGTGAAGGACTAATCGAGGGAGTAGTGAGTGAATGAGGGAATGAATGAGGAAATGAATGAGGGAATGAATGAGGGAATGAACGAGGAAATGAATGAGGGTTTTGTGTCCGTGACTAGAGCTGGTGGGGAAGAAGTGGTGGGAGGTGTTGGGGAGGTGCGAGTGGATGTGAGGGGGGTAGAAGTGGGGGGAAGGGTGAGGGATTGAGGGATTGAAGGGGGAAGGGAATGAGGGAATGAGGGAGTGCTATGGACTATAGCTAATGGGAGACGTGGCAGGAGGTGCTGAGAAGGGACGAGAGGAGGTAAGGAGGAGGGGGGTGAGCAGCATCGCTCGCATTGAGTGCAGTGCACACAAGCAGAACATGTCCTGTGTGTGCGCCTCCCTCATATGCTTTCGGCTCTCCCCGGCCCCTCTCCCCTCCTCCCCCTTCCTCCTGCAGCGGCATTTCTCTCATAGAGCGAAGTACGCACAAGCAGGCCAAGTGTTGTGTATTCGCCTCAGACTGAATCTGTCTTCTGAAAATTCCCAAAAACACAGATTCAACTCTCGCATAGAGCGCAGCGCGCACAAGCAGGCCAAGTGTTGTGTGCGCCTCAGACCCTTTTCCACCTTCTCGCCTTTCTATCCCCCCACCCCCCCTTTTTCAGTGGCATCGCTCGCATCGAGCGCAGTGCACATAAGCAGCCCAAGTCGTGAGTGGGTGGGTGCTTCTCTTACACTCGCCTCACTCCCCTCTCTGCCTCCCCTTCCCCACACCCTCCCCCCCACCTCCCCCTTTTCAGTGGCATCGCTCGCATAGAGCGCAGTGCACATAAGCAGGCCAAGTCGCGAACTGATGCCTGGACCGAGAAGTGGTGCGTGTGTGTGGGTGCTTGCGTATGGGTGCTTATATAGGGGTGTGACTGGGAAGATGAGATGATGGGGAGTGCACATGAGCAGGCTAAATCGCGAACTGATGCCTGGACGGAGAAATGATGCGTATGTAAGGGTGCTTATGTAGGGGTGTGATTGGGGAGTTGATGGGGAGTGCGTACAAGCAGGCCAAGTACCACATAAGTACAAACTCTCTTTGAGTCGTCCCAGAATGTATTCTTTTTGTGGGACGTCTCAGAGCAGTTGAGAGAGTGTGGTGAGAATGCGAAGTGATGTGAGAGTGTGTGAGATTGCGATAGGATTGCAGTGGGAATGTGGTGGAGTGCATTGAGAGTGGCGGAGTGCCGTTAAAGTATGGTGGAGTGCGGTGGAGTGCGATGACAGTGCGGTGAGAGTTCGATGGAGTGCAGTGAAGTGTGGTGCAAGTGTGGTGAGAGTGTGGTGCGAGTGTGGTGCGAGTGTGGTGCGAGTGGGCACAAGCAGAGCCAATTCCCAAACAGATGCATGGGCCGAGATATGGTGAGTTGTGGCTTATGGTAAGGGGTATTTTTCAGACATCTCAACAAATTACTGAAACGTCTCAAAACTTCCAAACAGACGTCCGAAGTGTTTTGACACGCATCTTGTTTTGAGACGTCTCAAAACTAGACGTCCGAAGTGTTTAGACATGCATCTTGCCCACTAGCTGGAGGCTTTGGCCAGTTTAGATGTTTTCCCTTCTTTACCTCCCCCATCCCTCCCCCTTCCTCCCCCGCATCTACTGTCCCCGTCTCCTCCGCAGGTGGGAGAAGTACAACGAGTGGGGGTGGACGGAGAAGGGGGGGTGCACCTAAAGCCTTCCTCTGTTCCCCCTCATCTATGGCCCCTTCGATCTTTCCCTTTCCATTCTCTCCCCCCTATCGCAGGTGGGAGAAGTACAACGAGCGTGGGTGGACGGAGAAGGGGGGGTGCACCCTAAACCCCACACCCTAAACCCCACACCCTAAACCCCACACCCTAAACCCCACACCCGAAACCCCTGCCCTCTTGGCCCTTCCCTCTTCCACCTCCTCACCCACCCCCTATCGCAGGTGGGAGAAGTACAACGAGTGGGGGTGGACGGAGAAGGGGGGGTGCACCTAAAGCCTTCCTCTGTTCCCCCTCATCTATGGCCCCTTCGATCTTTCCCTTTCCATTCTCTCCCCCCTATCGCAGGTGGGAGAAGTACAACGAGCGTGGGTGGACGGAGAAGGGGGGGTGCACCCTAAACCCCACACCCTAAACCCCACACCCTAAACCCCACACCCGAAACCCCTGCCCTCTTGGCCCTTCCCTCTTCCACCTCCTCACCCACCCCCTATCGCAGGTGGGAGAAGTACAACGAGTGGGGGTGGACGGAGAAGGGGGGGTGCACCTAAAGCCTTCCTCTGTTCCCCCTCATCTATGGCCCCTTCGATCTTTCCCTTTCCATTCTCTCCCCCCTATCGCAGGTGGGAGAAGTACAACGAGCGTGGGTGGACGGAGAAGGGGGGGTGCACCCTAAACCCCACACCCTAAACCCCACACCCTAAACCCCACACCCTAAACCCCACACCCGAAACCCCTGCCCTCTTGGCCCTTCCCTCTTCCACCTCCTCACCCACCCCCTATCGCAGGTGGGAGAAGTACAACGAGTGGGGGTGGACGGAGAAGGGGGGGTGCACCTAAAGCCTTCCTCTGTTCCCCCTCATCTATGGCCCCTTCGATCTTTCCCTTTCCATTCTCTCCCCCCTATCGCAGGTGGGAGAAGTACAACGAGCGTGGGTGGACGGAGAAGGGGGGGTGCACCCTAAACCCCACACCCTAAACCCCACACCCTAAACCCCACACCCTAAACCCCACACCCGAAACCCCTGCCCTCTTGGCCCTTCCCTCTTCCACCTCCTCACCCACCCCCTATCGCAGGTGGGAGAAGTACAACGAGTGGGGGTGGACGGAGAAGGGGGGGTGCACCTAAAGCCTTCCTCTGTTCCCCCTCATCTATGGCCCCTTCGATCTTTCCCTTTCCATTCTCTCCCCCCTATCGCAGGTGGGAGAAGTACAACGAGCGTGGGTGGACGGAGAAGGGGGGGTGCACCCTAAACCCCACACCCTAAACCCCACACCCTAAACCCCACACCCTAAACCCCACACCCTAAACCCCACACCCTAAACCCCTGCCCTCTTGGCCCTTCCCTCTTCCACCTCCTCACCCCCCCCCTATCGCAGGTGGGAGAAGTACAACGAGTGGGGGTGGACGGAGAAGGGGGGGTGCACCTAAAGCCTTCCTCTGTTCCCCCTCATCTATGGCCCCTTCGATCTTTCCCTTTCCATTCTCTCCCCCCTATCGCAGGTGGGAGAAGTACAACGAGCGTGGGTGGACGGAGAAGGGGGGGTGCACCCTAAACCCCACACCCTAAACCCCACACCCTAAACCCCACACCCTAAACCCCACACCCTAAACCCCACACCCGAAACCCCTGCCCTCTTGGCCCTTCCCTCTTCCACCTCCTCACCCACCCCCTATCGCAGGTGGGAGAAGTACAACGAGTGGGGGTGGACGGAGAAGGGGGGGTGCACCTAAAGCCTTCCTCTGTTCCCCCTCATCTATGGCTCCTTCGTTCTTTCCCTTTCCATTCTCTCCCCCCTATCGCAGGTGGGAGAAGTACAACGAGCGTGGGTGGACGGAAAAAGGCGCGTATAAGTTTGGGCGGCACGAGGGGCAGTCGTGGTGGGAGAAGTGGGGCGAGCAATACGACGGGCGAGGAGCAGTGCTTAAATGGTAGGTGGCTCATACGGTAAATGGGGTCTGTATATTGGGGGATTAGTGCGTAGAGGCACGAGGGGCAGCAGTGGTGGGAGAATTGGGGCGAGCAGTATGACGGGAGGGGAGCAGTCCTCAAGTGTGGTGGCTCGTATTGTATATGGGGTATGCATGCACGCATGTTGGGATGGGAGGGCAGCAGCATGAGGGGCAGTCGTGGTGGGAGAGGTGGGGCGAGCAGTACGACGGGCGGGGAGCAGTACTCAAGTGGTGAGATGCTTGTATGGTATGGGTGCCTTCTGTGTTTTTTTTTGTATTAGTATCATTATTATTATTCTTTGCTGATATACATGTGGTTAATATCTCTATATAAATATGGCTTGGCATGGCATGGCATAATGGCAGGACGGACAAGTGGGCGGAGCAGGACGACGACGGCAGCAAGTGGGGCGACAAATGGGAGGAGCGATTCACCAATGGGGTGGGCAGGAGACAAGGGGAAACGTGGCACCTGTCGCCCTCTTCCTCCCGTGAGTCAACTCTCACTTTCTCATAAGCCCCCCTCTCCCCCATAAGTGGGCGGAGCAGGACGATGATGGCAGCAAGTGGGGCGACAAATGGGAGGAGCGATTCACCAATGGGGTGGGCAGGAGACAAGGGGAAACGTGGCACCTGTCGCCCTCTTCCTCCCGTGAGTCAACTCTCACTTTCTCATAAGCCCCCCTCTCCCCCATAAGTGGGCGGAGCAGGACGATGATGGCAGCAAGTGGGGCGACAAGTGGGAGGAGCGATTCACCAATGGGGTGGGCAGGAGACAAGGGGAAAGTGGCACCTGTCGCCCTCTTCCTCCCGTGAGTCAACTCTCACTTTCTCATAAGCCCCCCTCTCCCCCATAAGTGGGCGGAGCAGGACGATGATGGCAGCAAGTGGGGCGACAAGTGGGAGGAGCGATTCACCAATGGGGTGGGCAGGAGACAAGGGGAAACGTGGCACCTGTTGCCCTCTTCCTCCCGTGAGTTGACTCCTCTCTCTGCGGCTGGTAATAAGTATCTTGCTGCCTCGCTGCCTGTGCGTGCTGCATGTGAGAAGAAAGTGGGGCGATACTGGGAGGAACGTTTTTCGCCCACCTATCCCCATCCCCATCCCCATCCCCATCTCGATCCACACTCACACTCCACCTCCCCTCGTGCGCCTCCCTCCCACCAGGGTGGTCGAGAACGTGGGGAGAGGAGCACTACAGGGTAGGGATGTGTAAGAGAAGCACCAAGTATAAACTATCCTCATGCGTGCCCTACCTGCCCCTTCTACGCTTCCTTGTTTATCTCCGTCCTACCAGGCTGGTCGAGAACGTGGGGAGAGGAGCACTACGGTGACGGGTAAGTGTTTCGCTTAAGGGTGGTACCACTTTGCTAAAACCACAAAAATAATTTGCACAGGGCATCTTTCACTTACGGCGGGTATTTTCCCCTGACTTTTTTATGCTGACCGGCGAGTATCTTTCACTTACAAAAGGCGAGTATTTACAAGCCTTTTGAACGAATCTCACGATAATAAACTTCTTGGTCTTCAAGAGCCCTAGTTGTGTCGGGCCCTTCGCCTCTCTCTTTCCTCGCATCTCTCTCATCTCCCTTCATCTTAGTCCCTCTCCCCCTCGCAATTTGATGGTATGGCAACAAGGAGCACACCAAACTGACGAGGGTGCGACTCTACCTCACCTCTCCTCCCCTCTCCTTGCAACCTTTCTCTCTTCCCCATACCAGCAAGGTGCACAAGTATGGGAGGAGCACGAGCGGGGAGGTGTGGGACGTGGTGGTTGAAGAGCCTACATATTACGAGTGAGTGGTGAAAGGGACAGGGCACTCCTCCTTTCAACCACTGCTCTCATTCAGGGCATGTGCTTGATTTCAAACTTCAGCGTGTGACTCATGTTGCAAGAGCACGAGCGGCGAGGTGTGGGACGTGGTGGTGGAAGAGCCTACATATTACGAGTGAGAGGTGAAAGGGACAGGGTAGAGACATGTGTGTCGGGAGGGAGTTATGTGCTATGAGTGAGTGGCTCTTGGTGCGAGAGCACGAGCAGGCAGGTGTGGGACGTGGTGAGTGGAAGAAGCTACATATTACGAGTGAGTGCACCCCTCATGTCGAACACGAGTGGCACGGCATGTGGCATACTTGATTTCAGTGCTTTGACTCTTGATGCACGAGCACGAGCAGGCAGGTGTGGGACGTGGTGAGTGGAAGAAGCTACATATTACGAGCGAGTGAAATCCTTTTGAGTCGATAGGACAGGGTTGACAGAGACTTGTGTGGGGAGTTCGCATTTCAGAAGGCGTGGCATAGGTACGTAGTATGAGTAAGTGGAATCGTATGAGAGGATGGGACAGGATAGAGAGACTTGTGTGGGGGGGGCTCGTCTCACAAGGCGTACTGGTGGAACACTGGTCGCACCACTGGTTGGTGTGCGCCACTGGTTGGTGTGCGCCACTGGTTGGTGTGCGCCACTGGTTGATGTGCGCCACTGGTTGGTGTGCACCACTGGTTGGTGTGCGCCACTGGTTGGTGTGCGCCACTGGTTGGTGTGCGCCACTGGTTGGTGTGCGCCACTGGTTGGTGTGCGCCACTGGTTGGTGTGCGCCACTGGTTGGTGTGCACCACTGGTTGGTGTGCGCCACTGGTTGGTGTGCGCCACTGGTTGGTGTGCGCCACTGGTTGGTGTGCGCCACTGGTTGGTGTGCGCCACTGGTTGGTGTGCGCCACTGGTTGGTGTGCGCCACTGGTTGGTGTGCGCCACTGGTTGGTGTGCGCCACTGGTTGGTGTGCGCCACTGGTTGGTGTGCGCCACTGGTTGGTGTGCGCCACTGGTTGGTGTGCGCCACTGGTTGGTGTGCGCCACTGGTTGGTGTGCGCCACTGGTTGGTGTGCGCCACTGGTTGGTGTGCGCCACTGGTTGGTGTGCAGCCACTGGTTGGTGTGCGCCACTGGTTGGTGTGCGCCACTGGTTGGTGTGCGCCACTGGTTGGTGTGCGCCACTGGTTGGTGTGCGCCACTGGTTGGTGTGCGCCACTGGTTGGTGTGCGCCACTGGTTGGTGTGCGCCACTGGTTGGTGTGCGCCACTGGTTGGTGTGCGCCACTGGTTGGTGTGCGCCACTGGTTGGTGTGCGCCACTGGTTGGTGTGCGCCACTGGTTGGTGTGCGCCACTGGTTGGTGTGCGCCACTGGTTGGTGTGCGCCACTGGTTGGTGTGCGCCACTGGTTGGTGTGCACCACTGGTTGGTGTGCGCCACTGGTTGGTGTGCGCCACTGGTTGGTGTGCACCACTGGTTGGTGTGCACCACTGGTTGGTGTGCACCACTGGTTGGTGTGCACCACTGGTTGGTGTGCACCACTGGTTGGTGTGCACCACTGGTTGGTGTGCACCACTGGTTGGTGTGCACCACTGGTTGGTGTGCGCCACTGGTTGGTGTGCACCACTGGTTGGTGTGCGCCACTGGTTGGTGTGCGCCACTGGTTGGTGTGCGCCACTGGTTGGTGTGCGCCACTGGTTGGTGTGCGCCACTGGTTGGTGTGCGCCACTGGTTGGTGTGCGCCACTGGTTGGTGTGCGCCACTGGTTGGTGTGCGCCACTGGTTGGTGTGCGCCACTGGTTGGTGTGCGCCACTGGTTGGTGTGCGCCACTGGTTGGTGTGCGCCACTGGTTGGTGTGCGCCACTGGTTGGTGTGCGCCACTGGTTGGTGTGCGCCACTGGTTGGTGTGCGCCACTGGTTGGTGTGCGCCACTGGTTGGTGTGCGCCACTGGTTGGTGTGCGCCACTGGTTGGTGTGCGCCACTGGTTGGTGTGCGCCACTGGTTGGTGTGCGCCACTGGTTGGTGTGCGCCACTGGTTGGTGTGCGCCACTGGTTGGTGTGCACCACTGGTTGGTGTGCACCACTGGTTGGTGTGGTGTGCACCACTGGTTGGTGTGCACCACTGGTTGGTGTGCACCACTGGTTGGTGTGCACCACTGGTTGGTGTGCACCACTGGTTGGTGTGCACCACTGGTTGGTGTGCACCACTGGTTGGTGTGCACCACTGGTTGGTGTGCACCACTGGTTGGTGTGCACCACTGGTTGGTGTGCACCACTGGTTGGTGTGCGCCACTGGTTGGTGTGCGCCACTGGTTGGTGTGCGCCACTGGTTGGTGTGCGCCACTGGTTGGTGTGCGCCACTGGTTGGTGTGCGCCACTGGTTGGTGTGCGCCACTGGTTGGTGTGCGCCACTGGTTGGTGTGCGCCACTGGTTGGTGTGCGCCACTGGTTGGTGTGCGCCACTGGTGTGCGCCACTGGTTGGTGTGCGCCACTGGTTGGTGTGCGCCACTGGTTGGTGTGCGCCACTGGTTGGTGTGCGCCACTGGTTGGTGTGCGCCACTGGTTGGTGTGCGCCACTGGTTGGTGTGCGCCACTGGTTGGTGTGCGCCACTGGTTGGTGTGCGCCACTGGTTGGTGTGCGCCACTGGTTGGTGTGCGCCACTGGTTGGTGTGCGCCACTGGTTGGTGTGCGCCACTGGTTGGTGTGCGCCACTGGTTGGTGTGCGCCACTGGTTGGTGTGCGCCACTGGTTGGTGTGCGCCACTGGTTGGTGTGCGCCACTGGTTGGTGTGCGCCACTGGTTGGTGTGCGCCACTGGTTGGTGTGCGCCACTGGTTGGTGTGCGCCACTGGTTGGTGTGCGCCACTGGTTGGTGTGCGCCACTGGTTGGTGTGCGCCACTGGTTGGTGTGCGCCACTGGTTGGTGTGCGCCACTGGTTGGTGTGCGCCACTGGTTGGTGTGCGCCACTGGTTGGTGTGCGCCACTGGTTGGTGTGCGCCACTGGTTGGTGTGCGCCACTGGTTGGTGTGCGCCACTGGTTGGTGTGCGCCACTGGTTGGTGTGCGCCACTGGTTGGTGTGCGCCACTGGTTGGTGTGCGCCACTGGTTGGTGTGCGCCACTGGTTGGTGTGCGCCACTGGTTGGTGTGCGCCACTGGTTGGTGTGCGCCACTGGTTGGTGTGCGCCACTGGTTGGTGTGCGCCACTGGTTGGTGTGCGCCACTGGTTGGTGTGCGCCACTGGTTGGTGTGCGCCACTGGTTGGTGTGCGCCACTGGTTGGTGTGCGCCACTGGTTGGTGTGCGCCACTGGTTGGTGTGCGCCACTGGTTGGTGTGCGCCACTGGTTGGTGTGCGCCACTGGTTGGTGTGCGCCACTGGTTGGTGTGCGCCACTGGTTGGTGTGCGCCACTGGTTGGTGTGCGCCACTGGTTGGTGTGCGCCACTGGTTGGTGTGCGCCACTGGTTGGTGTGCGCCACTGGTTGGTGTGCGCCACTGGTTGGTGTGCGCCACTGGTTGGTGTGCGCCACTGGTTGGTGTGCGCCACTGGTTGGTGTGCGCCACTGGTTGGTGTGCGCCACTGGTTGGTGTGCGCCACTGGTTGGTGTGCGCCACTGGTTGGTGTGCGCCACTGGTTGGTGTGCGCCACTGGTTGGTGTGCGCCACTTGCGCCACTGGTTCCTTTGCTCGCACCACTGGTTCTGCTCGCACCACTGGTTCTGCTCGCACCACTGGTTCTGCTCGCACCACTGGTTCTGCTCGCACCACTGGTTCTGCTCGCACCACTGGTTCTGCTCGCACCACTGGTTCTGCTCGCACCACTGGTTCTGCTCGCACCACTGGTTCTGCTCGCACCACTGGTTCTGCTCGCACCACTGGTTCTGCTCGCACCACTGGTTCTGCTCGCACCACTGGTTCTGCTCGCACCACTGGTTCTGCTCGCACCACTGGTTCTGCTCGCACCACTGGTTCTGCTCGCACCACTGGTTCTGCTCGCACCACTGGTTCTGCTCGCACCACTGGTTCTGCTCGCACCACTGGTTCTGCTCGCACCACTGGTTCTGCTCGCACCACTGGTTCTGCTCGCACCACTGGTTCTGCTCGCACCACTGGTTCTGCTCGCACCACTGGTTCTGCTCGCACCACTGGTTCTGCTCGCACCACTGGTTCTGCTCGCACCACTGGTTCTGCTCGCACCACTGGTTCTGCTCGCACCACTGGTTCTGCTCGCACCACTGGTTCTGCTCGCACCACTGGTTCTGCTCGCACCACTGGTTCTGCTCGCACCACTGGTTCTGCTCGCACCACTGGTTCTGCTCGCACCACTGGTTCTGCTCGCACCACTGGTTCTGCTCGCACCACTGGTTCTGCTCGCACCACTGGTTCTGCTCGCACCACTGGTTCTGCTCGCACCACTGGTTCTGCTCGCACCACTGGTTCTGCTCGCACCACTGGTTGTGCTCCTTGCTGCCATACGTCTCAACTAAGAGGTACGTGAATGTCAGTGTGTCACATCTTCTTGTCACCTCTGCCTTGTACCTTTGTGTATAACCCCAGGCGATTATTGAGACGCCTCAAAAATCACATCTTCTTGTCACCTCTGCCTTGTACCTTTGTGTATAACCTCAGGGGCACGCCTCACTACGGCTGGGCAGAGGCAACTGCCAACTCGCTGCAGCTGCTAGCGATAGAACCCATGGAGAGAGGAGGAGAGGCGTGAGGGGGAATGGAGTCTGGAGGAGGGAAGGGTGACGGTGGAACGGGGCACCCCTCACTAGTACGGCTGGGCAGAGGCAACTGCCACCTCGTTGCAGCTGCTGGCGATAGAACCCATGGAGAGACGAGGGGAGGCGTGAGGGGGAGCGGAGTGAGGGGGGGGGAAAGGGAACGGCGGAAAGGGGCATGCCTCACTATGGCTGGGCAGAGGCAACTGCCAACTCGCTGCAGCTGCTTGCAATAGAACCCATGGAGAGAGAGGCGTGAGGGGGAGAAGGGAGGAACAGTGGAGAGAGGAGGGGAACAACAGAGAGGGACTCGCCCCCACTTGCTTACTCGCTGCAGCTGTGGCGATCGAACCTATGGAGAGAGGAGGAGAGGCGTGAGGGGAAGGGGAGGAGCAGCGTGAGAGGGAGAGGAGAGGAGAGAGGCGGAGGGAAGGGGGGTGGCGTAAGCGACACACCTTATTAGTACGGCTGGGCAGAGGCAACTGCCAACTCGCTGCAGCTGCTGGTGATAGAACCTATGGAGAGAGGAGGAGAGGCTCAAAGCGGAGGAGAGAGGAAGGGTCGAGGGAGGAGGGAAATGCAAGAGAACAGGGTTTTTTTTTCTCTCCCGTGTAGTGCTCCCAGTGGGAATGGATAGGTGCGCCTCTGCTGCTGCTGTTGGCGATATAAGGCATGAAAAGAGGAGAAGAGGTATGAGAGAGATGGGAGAGGAAAGGTGGAAGGCAGAGGGAGGGGGCAAATGCCAGGGGGCATAACCGTAATTTTTGGCTCCCTCCCTTGTAGCGCTCCCTAGTGGGACTAGATTGGTGTTCTGCAGCTGCTGCTGCTGATAGCGGGTTCGATTCCCTGCGTTTTATTGCTCCCTGTGGGACTAGATCGGTGCACCTCTGCTGCTGTTGGCGATAGAGGCCATGGAACGAGGAGGAGATGCGTACGAGAGAGGGGAAGGGAAAGAGAGAGACGGAGGAGGAGAATGTTGGAGAGAGGGGCGAAATGTTGGAGAGAGGGGCGAAATGTTGGAGAGAGGGGCGAAATGTTGGAGAAAGAGAAGTGCTGGAGAGAGGGAAGGAAACGAGGGCTTGATGAGGGAAAACACAGTGGGCAGAAACCCAGTCTTGCTCCCTCCGATTGCTCAGACGGATTAGATTGGTGGCCTGCTGCAGCTGCTGCTGATAATAGGCTTCCACGTCAAGAAAAGAGGGAGAGAGGAACTGTGGAAGAAAAAGGGAGGTGAAATAAGAGGGTTCTGTGACGGAAGGGAAAATCCACAGCAAGAGCAACGAGGTGCGAGGGGGTGGATAGAAAAGGTATGGAGACTTCATTTCATACCGGAAATTGGAGAGTATCTGAAGCCTGACAAGTCAACAGGTTCAAGAGAGTCAACGAGGCTCCTCTCTTGATGCAGTCAGCCTCCGTTTGAACAAGTCTCTCCTTTTCCTCTTCCTCAAGCCCAGTTGCCTTCAGTGGGATTTAATTAGAGGCCCTCGCTGCTTGGTGTATGAGGGTGTCAAGTGTTGATATTTGTGATAGGCTGTAGTGAGGTGCTCCTTAGTGAGTACAACTCAGTTAGGGTTTGCTATTTGTATCACCGACATTCCTAATCTCATCATTCCGTTGCATTCTATTTCTGAGATGGTATCACGAGTAGGTTTAAAATCCTTGCCTAGCCTAGCCTAGCTCGCGCCCTCGAGCCCTCCGCGCCCTAGCGCGCCTCCGCGCCTTACGCGCCCTCCGTCACGCGCCCTAGCGCGCCTCCGCGCCCTAGCGCCCTCCGCGCCTTACGCGCCTTACGCGCCCTCCGTCACGCGCCCTAGCGCCCTCCGCGCCCTAGCGCCCTCCGCGCCCTCCCTAACGCGCCCTCCGAGCCCTCCGTAACGCGCCCTCCGCGCCTCCGCGCCTAACCCTCCCCTACGCGCCCTCCGTATCGCGCCTCCGCCCCAGCCCGTCGCGTAGCCCGTGCGTCCTACCCTAGCCCGTCGCGTAGCCCGTGCGCCCTGCCCCAGCCCGTCGCGTGGCCCGTGGCCCCGGCCCCAGCCCGTCGCGTCGCCCGTGCGCCCTGCCCTAACCCGTCGCGTAGCCCGTGCGCCCTGCCCTAGCCTGTCGCGTAGCCCGTGCGCCCTGCCCCTAGCCCGTGCGCGCCCGTGCGCCCTGCCCCTAGCCCGCGCGTCGCCCTGCCCCTAGGCTGCGCGCCCCCGCAGGTATCGTGCCCCGCAAGTAGCGCGCCCCGCGGGTAGCGCGCCCCGCAGGCAGCGCACCGTGCGGGTAGTGCGCCCCGGGGGTAGCGCGCTCCGCAGGCAGCGCGCCCCGCGGGTAGCGCGCCCCGCAGGCAGCACACCCTGCAGGCAGCGCGCCCCGTAGCGCTTTAGCGCCAGAAAATAACTAAATTAATTAAACCCTCAAAAAAAAAAGGGGGGGGGGGGGGGGGGGGGGGTTCAGGGTGTTGGGCTGCAACTATCGCCCGCGTTCCTGCTTGTCGAACGACCTGCACAGCTCCCTACATATCGCAACAGTCAGTACTGCAGCCCCTACAGTCGCACGTACTTTCCACTGCCAGTGGCTCTACTAGCGGCAGCCGATAGCCGCAATTACAGTCTCTAGCTCCAGCCGTTCTAGCTCCAGCCACTCCTAGCTCCAGCCGTGTCTAGCTCCAGCCGTTCTCGCTCCAGCCGTTCTGGCTCCAACCGTTTCAGCTCCAACCGTTCTAGCTCCAGTCGTTTTCGCTCGTCGCTCCTAGCTCAGATTGCTCCGTGCTACAGTCGTTCCTCGCCTTTCACCTGGCGCTCCTAGTTGTTCTCGTTGTTTCACTGCAGCCGTCCCTAGCTCCTGGCGCTCCTAGCCTATATCATGGCGTCCACTAGGGTTCTCCAGCAATAGGGACAGCAGCAGCGGCAGTTTTAGCAGTGGCTGTTAGAATCTAGAATAGAACGAGAATGGATGAAACTAGGTAGGAGGGGGATACAAGTAGGAAACCCTAACAAAGCTGTACCCCCTAAGGCTAAACCCACAATAGCCTACACAATATGAACATATAATGTTTGACACACCCCCATAGGCTAAGTGGGAGACAACCAGATGGTCACAAGACCAGTCAAAGCAAAGCAAAGCAAGCTCAGGGTGGATCTCAAGGAAACCACACAAATTCTGAGCACAAGCAAGTGGTCACAAGACCAGTTCACATGCAGGTTGATAGTATAACAAGAGATACAGTGATCACAACCTAGCAAGAGTAAACAAGCAGGTATATATATAGAGATCACAGTACAAGCAGAGTCAAGAAGTAAGCAAGTGAGGCCCAGTAGGCACGAGGCCTAGAACAGTACAGAAGCGGTGATGGTCACAAGGCTGAAGCGCCTTGGTGAACACATCAGCAGTGTTGGCCCGAGTGGCCACGTAACGCAGACGAAGCTGACCGCGCTGCTGCAGCTCTCGAGCAAGGAAGTAGCGCAGAGCGATATGCTTCGTTCTGTGCTCCAGTCTGTGCTCCTCACACAAGGCAATGGCAGCCTTGTTGTCGACGTACAGCACTGGAGGAGAACGAGGCCGCTCTCCCAAGTCGGTCAGCAGGTAGGTGAGCCAGCGTAACTCCTGTGCAGCCATGGCTGTGGCGTAGATCTCAGCCTCACAACTGGAGCTGAGAACAGAAGACGAGCGTGTAGAACGCCAAGAAACTGAACCAGAGCCAAGGCTGAAGGTGTAACCCTGAGACGACCGCTGAGTAGCCTGGTCGTCAGCCCAAGACGCGTCTGAGTGCCCAGTGAGTACAACTCGGTCTCGTCCTCCAAGCACTAGCCCCATGCCCGACGTACTGCACAAGTAGCGCAACACCCTCTTAGCGGCATCCATGTGCTCCTTCCGGTGACGGCCAGGAGCGACATAGCGTCCAAGGATGCTAAGAGGGTATGCAAGGTCAGGTCGAGTGCAGGTCATCAGGTACATGAGGCAGCCCACAAGCTCTGGATACGGGCCACTCGGCTCTACGGACTCATCCGAAGGCAGAGCTGAGAGCGAGTGACCGGTAGGCAGAGGAGTGGGCTGAGGCGAGGAGTACGTGAAGCGGAAGCGCTGAAGGACCTGCTGGACCATGTGTGACTGAGTCAAGGTGATGGTGCGCCGTGCTTTGTCCCGGGTGATCCGCAAGCCAAGATAGCTTGTCAGTTCACCCAGGTCTGTGCACGTGTGTCTCTTCTGCAGCTCCGACTTCACGTGGGCGAGTGCCGCAGTGTGTGCAGTGGCAAAGACCAAGTCGTCGACGTACACGAGGATGTAGAACGGCGGCAGCGAGGTGTCGGTGCGTAGAAACAGCGACGGGTCAGCAGTAGAAGGAGCGAACCCAAGAGCCGCAAGTGTAGTCCTCAGTGTGTCGTGCCACTCACGTGGCGCCTGTCGGAGACCGTAGACTGGCCGCCGGAGGCTCCACTGGGTACCAGGAGGGAACGACCCAGTGAAGCCAGGTGGGCGGCGCAGCCAGATCTCCTCGTGCAGGCTGCCCTGTAGGAAAGCAGTGCTGAAGTCAAGAGAGTGGAGCTCGTAGTCACGCTGAGCGGCGACGTGCAGCAGAACCCGAAGAGTGGTCATCTTCGGGGTGGGGGAGAAGGTCTGGAAGAAGTCAACTCCCTCTCGCTGACTGAAGCCTCGTGCAACGTAACGCGCCTTGAAGACAGGCGGAGAACCCGGCGGCCGCTTCACCCTGAAAATCCACATGCCACTGACGATGTTCGCCCCAGGTGGGGGAACCTCGTCGACGTAGGTGCCTGTGGACTTCCAGGAAGCCATCTCTGCGTCCATGGCTGTCTGCCACTGAGAGGAGTAGGGACCCTCTATCGCCTCTGCGTAAGAGCGTGGAGTCGGGATGTCTGGTGCATCCGGGTCTCCCTCAAGGGCAACTAGCATGGACACGAGATGAGGTAAAGCAGCGGCAAAGCACTCAAACTCCTCCTGCCTGTCCTCAAGGACGTCCGTGCCAAGAGCACAGTCACCCCCGACGGACGGAGGACAGACAGACTCAGACTCAGCAACTAGGCTAGCGGCGTAGTCGAGACGACAAGTGGCAGCAAAGTCGACAAGCTCGGCAACTAAGGCAGACGCAGCAGTGGACTCAAAGGAAGGGTCAGTGACAACAGTAGCCAGGAGACGCGTGACAGTAGGACTGGCAGCACGAAGAGAGTCAGACTCAGGGTCAGCAAGAGCAGGAAGAGAGGACGCAGGAGGAGCCGGGAGAGGGACACGCTGGGGAGCAGTGGAAGGACGAAGCGCCATCTGGTGAGTGCCTGGGACAGCAGGAGGACGCTGATGCGGGACACGACGACCAGTGTGAGCAGCACGAACAGGCGACGCTCGACGAGACTCAGGCGACGCAGGACGAGACTCAGGCTCACGACGCTCCGTAAGACCTCCAGTCGGACCAGTGTAAGGAGAAGGACCAGGGAGAGGGGAGGCAGACGGTAACTGTGACTGCGACTGGACAGACGGAGGACACTCTAAGGAGGGAGGAGGACAAGGAGGAGGAGGCTGACCAAGAACCTGCTGAAGGAGCGGAACGAAGTACGGCCGCGGCCGCGCAGCGTCAGGGTCCTCAGCACCAGCAGCAGCTCCACCTCGAGGGTCCTCAGCACCAGCAGCAGCTCCGACTCCAGGGTCCGCAGCACCAGCAGCAACTCCAACGCCCGGGTCCGCAGCACCAGCAGCAGCTCCAACGCCCGTGTCCTCAGCACCAGCAGCACCTCCGGAAGAAGCAGCACCTCCAGCAGCTCCAGCAGCCCCAGCACCAGCAGCACCTCCAGCAGCTCCAGCAGCACCAGCAGTACCACCAGCACCAGCAGCACCTCCAGCAGCGTCAGCAGCACCAGCAGCTCCAGCACCAGCAGCACCTCCAGCAGCGCCAGAAGCACCGCCAGCAGCAGAACCTCCAGCAGGTGGGTCCGCGACACTAGGAGCGCCACTCCGAAGACTGCAGCGCCGTGCGTACCACTCTCGGAGCCGCTGGGGAGAGGGCAGCTCCCGCCTAGGAGGGGAAGCACTAGCACCAGCTCCAGCAGTACTCCTGGCTCCAGAAGCACCTCTCCTGAGGCTGCAGTACTGTAAGTACCACTCACGCAGCTGCTGTGAGGAGAGAGCTCCTCCAGGTGTAGCACTCCCAGGCTCAGTACCTCTAGACTCAGCACCCCCAGACTCAGCACCCGCAGGCTCCGCACCCCCAGGCTCAGCACCCCCAGACTCCGCAACCCCAGGCTCCGCACCCTCAGACTCCGCAACCCCAGGCTCCGCACCCCCAGGCTCCGCACCCCCAGGCTCCGCACGCTCAGGCTCAGCACCCTCAGGCTCA